TCAGCCAGGCTCTGGGGCTCCTGGTCCCTCACCTGGAAGGTGACCTGCAGAATGGAGGTGGCAGCGAAGGCCCAGGCCAGCGCCCTGGGGTCCCGCCCCTCCCTGAATGCCACATCCGGGGGTCAGCACTGGTGCCTGGGTGGGCGTGGCCAGGCAGCACCCCTTCCTCCCGGGCCTGGCAAGGAGGGGCCGCATGGCAGACCCCCTGCCCCCCCCAGCCCTTTGCCAGGCGCCCAGCTCCGAGCCAGAGCCTCGGCGGCCCGCTGTGTGCCCTCCCCACTCCCCACCACTCCGCAGATGCGGTTCTGAGCTCATGTGCATGCAGGGGGAGCCGTGTTCGCTGTAGTGGGGGCATTAGGAGAACCGCCAACAGACCATTTTGCTGTGAATTGTAAGTAGAACAGTTGGATGATTTGCATACCGTGGTGGAGAGAGGGAGGATGCGGGGGAGTGTTGAGTGATGTGTAGAGTTCTTCTCACCTCGGGTGGCTGCTTCTGTCCCTGTGACATGGAGCTGCTGAGGGAGGCCGAGGATGGTGAGCAGAGAGCCGTCGCGCCGGCTGAGAGCCCTGAGCGCTGGCACCAAGAGCGTGGCTGTGCAGGGCGGACTGTCACGAGGCACCGCGGTACGATCTTAGCCAGGGGCCGCTGGCCCACGCCTGTCATCCTAGCCGCATGGGAGGCTGCGATCTGAGGATTGAGGTTCAGAGCCAGCCGGGGCAGCAAAGTCTGTGACTTCTTCAAAGAACCACCAGAAAACCAGAAGTGGCGCAGTGCCAGCCTTGAGCAAACAAGCTCAGGGACAGCTCTGCCGGCTAGGGTAGCAGCAGGCCTGTGCCCCGGGGCCCTGGCACCTGCCTACACTGCCGGGAGGGCGAATGTGACCCTGAATTTGCACCAGGATGGTGGTGCGCCTGCCCCTCCCCGCCCGTGTCAGGTGGCCCAGGAAACCCGGCTGCGGGCTGGGCGGCTGTGGTGGGACTGCCTGTGGCTCCACAAGTGGCTTGTGTGAGCTGCGCGTGCGTGTGTACGTGTGTATGAGAGTGTGTGTGTGAGTGAGCTGCGCGTGCATGTATACGTGTGTGAGAGTGAGTGTGTGCGTGTGTGAGCTGAGCATGCGTGTGTACATGTGTGAGAGTGTGTGCCAGTGTGTGAGCTGTGCATGCATGTGTACGTGTGTGAGTGTGTGTGTGAGTGTGAGCTGCACGTGTGTGTACATGTGTGTGTGCGAGTGAGAGTGTGAGCTGTGCATGTGTGTACGTGTGTGTGCGCACGCGATTGTGTGTGCGAGTGAGTGTGTGAGCTGTGCATGTGTGTACGTGTGTGGGACAATGTGTTAGTTTGTGAGTGTGAGCTGCGTGTGCGTGTGTATGTGTGTGAGTGTGTGTGAGTGTAAGAGTGTGTGAGTGTGTGTGTGTACGTATGTACGTGTGAGGTGTGTGAGTGTGAGAGTGTGTGTGAATGTGTGAGCTGTGTGTGTGTACATGTGTGTGTACGCGTATGTGAGGTGTGTGTGAGTGTGAGTGTGTGTGAGTGTGAGAGTGTGTGTATACGTGTGTGAGTGTGAGTGTGAGAGTATGTATGTGCAAGAAAGTGAGTGTGAATGTGTGTGTGTTGTGCGACTGTGTATGTGCGAGTGTGTGTGTGTGTGCGTGTGTGTGAGCTGTGTGTGCGAATGTACATGTGTGAGTGTGAGTGTGTGTACGTGTGAGCTGTGAGTGAGTGTGTGAGTGTATACGTGTGTGTGTGAGAGTGAGTGTGAATGTGAGAGTGTGTGTATTGCGAGTGTGTGTGTGAGTGTGTGAGTGTGAGCTGCGCATGCGTGTACATGTGTGTGTGTATGTGAGTGTATGTGTGTGAGTGTATGTGTGTGAGTGTGTGAGTGTGTATGTGTGTACGTGTGAGTGTGAATGTGTGAGTGTGTGCGAGTATGAGAGTGTGAGTGTGTGTGAATGTGTAAGCTGTGCGTGTGCGTGTACATGTGTGTGTGTACGTAGGCGTGAGTGTGAGTGTGTGTATGTGTGTGAGTGTGTGAGAGTGAGTGTGAGCTGTGCGAGCGTGTGTACGTGTGTGAGTGCGTGTGTATGAGTGTGAGCTGCGCATGTGTGTGTGTGTGTACGTGTGTACGTGTATGTGAGGTGTGTGTGTGTGAATGTGTGTGAGGTGCATGTGTGTACATGTGTGTGAGTGCGTGTGTACGTGTATGTGAGGTGAGTGTGAGTGTGTGCGAGTGTGTGTGTGAGAGTGTGAGTGTGTGTGTATGTGCAAGAAAGTGTGTGTGAATGTGTTGTGCGAGTGTGTGCGAGTGTGTGAGAGTGTGAGTGAATGTGTGAGTGTGTGCGAGTGTGAGTGTGTGTGTGTGTGTGAGCTGTGCATGTGTGTGTACATGTGTGAGTGTGTGTGAGTACGTGTGTACATAGGTGTGTGTGTGAGTGTACGTGTGAGTGTGGGTGAGTGTGGGTGTGAGTGTGCGAGGGTGTGTGAGAGTGTGTGTGGGTGTGTGAGCTGCGCATGTGTGTGTATGTATATGTGTGTGTATGTGAGTGTGTATGAGTGTGTGTACGTGTGTGCATGAGAGTGTGTGTATGTGTGAGTGTGTATGTGTGTGTGTGTGTGAGTGTGTACGTGCGTGTGTGAGTGTGTACGTGCGTGTGTGAGTGTGTACTGTGTGAGTGTGTGTGTGTGGACACTGCCCAGGCATTCCCGCTGCTGCCCTGCAGGGGGCGCCTGCCAGCTAGTCCTGGCTGGCCTCAGTGCCAAGACCAGTGAGCCTCGACCCGCCAGCCTGTGGTTTCTTTTCATCTTTTTTTTGGGGGGGGGGTCCGGTCATGGGGCCTGAACTCTGGGCCTGGGCGCTGTCCCTCAGCTCTTCAGCTCAAGGCTAGCGCTCTACCACTTGAGCCACAGCACCACTTCCGGCTTTTTTTCTTTTTGCTTATGTGGTGCTGAGGAATCGAACCCAGACTTCAGGCATGCAAGGCAAGCGCTCTACCACTGAGCCACCTTCCCAGCCCCTCTTTTCATGTTTTATGTATTAGTATTGTTGTTGTTGCTGTTGTTGTTGGTCGTGGGGCTTGAGCTCTGGGCCTGGGTGCTGTTCCCGAGCTCTTCAGCTCAAGGCGAGTGCTCTACCACTTGAGCTACAGCACCACTTGCGGTTTTCTGGTGGTCAATTGGAGATAAGAGTCTCACAGACTTTCCTGCCCGGGCTGGCTTTGAACCTCGATCTCAGATCTCAGCCTCCCGAGTAGCTAGGATGACAGGCGTGAGCCACCGGTGCCCAGCCTCATTTTTTATTTTTTGAGGGTTAGAGTGTCCCTGTGTAGTCCCAGCTGGCCCTGAATTCATGACCCTCCTGCCTGGACCTCCGAGTGCCAGGATTACAGCTGTGCAATCCACACCTGCCCCTCTTGGGTCACTTTCCATTTGCTTCCTTATTTACAGCAGTACTGGGGTTTGAACCCAGGGGCTCCACTACTTCAGCCACGCCCTGGCCCTTTTTGCTTTAGTTATTTTTCAGACTGGGTCTGAAAATTTCCAGCCTGGGCTGGAAATGGACCTCAGTTCTCTGACCTAAGCTTCCTGAGTAGCTGGGACCATAGACATGGCCACCACCCGCAACTCACCAATTGAGATGGGGTCTCTTTATCGTTCTGTCTGGGCTAGCATCAGAGAGCTACCTTATCTCCGTCTTCTGAATAGCTAGGATTATAAGCATGTGCCACCATGCCTGGCCTCCCTTACCTTTTTCTTTTTGAATGCCATCAGCCTTCCATCCAGGCCCACTGTCCTGCAGGGCGGCTTGTTCCCAGTGCTTTGGTTCTCTCAACTCATGGTCTGTCCTTATTTCCTAACGACTCAGGATTAGCACTGGAGGCTGAGAGCCACGTTAACCTTTTGGAGCAAGATCACTCTCAGTGTTCTCACTTGAATGTCCACCTGTCCCACGGTCACTCTGCTGAGTTGGTCCAACCGAGGCAGGGGCCTCCGGCGTGGCTGTCACTAGTGTGGGTGTAATCCCAGGTGGGGTCAGCCCCAACACCCGCCCCCCGTCCTGGCATCCACCCACGATCTTTGCCCAAAACCCTTGTTGGAAACTGAGCGCGTGGCCGTGGGACGGCGTGTGCACTCTCCCATCCCACGCAGCCACAACCGCAGCCGGCACGGCGCGGCCAGCCCTGCCTGACGCCTGTCATCCTCGCTGCTCAGGAGGCTGAGATCCGGGCAGGAAAGTCTGTGTGGTACAGGCGTGGCTCTTCTGGTTCTTCCTTAGTTCCCAATACATTTCACATTTTGGAGTCCGTTTACTAATTTCTCTGGGAAAGCACACTAGGGCTTCTGTGTTTGTGTCTACGTAGAGGCTTGAGGAGAAGTGACATCTCTGCAGCCGAGTCCACGGCTACAGTCCACAGCTGCATCTGTTCACCCTTTGTCCCTCCATCCAGCTTTGACGGCTTTATGAACTTCTTTCCCTTCCTTCCTTCCTTCCTTCCTTCCTTCCTTTCTTTCTTCCTCCCTCCCTCCCTCCCTCCCTTCCTCCCTCCCTTCCTCTCTCTCTTTCTTTTCTTTCTCTCTCTTTCCTTTTCTTTCTCTGTCTCCCCTTTCCCCCCCCCTCCTTTTCTCTTTCTGTGCCTATTCTAGGACTTGAACTCAGGGCCTGGGTGCTATCCCTGAGCTTTTTAGCTCAAGGTTGGTGCTCTACCACTTGAGCCACAACGTCACTTCCTGCTTTTTTAGTGGTTAATTGGAGATAAGAGTCTCATGGACTTTCCTACCTAGCTGGCTTCAAACCCTTGATCATCAGATCTCAGCCTCCTGCATAGCTAGGATTCCAGGCGTGAGCCACTGGACCAGCTGGGAGACAGTCTTGGGGAAGGGCCTGAGAAGGTTCCTCCTCTCTCTTTCCTGTCCTGCCTTGTGAATACACCTGACCTGGAATTCTGTGTCTGCTGTAGGGCTGCGGGGAGACGAGGCAGCACCACGCCGGTGGGTGGCCCTTCGCGGCGCCCATGGCTGGTCAGGACCCTGCGCTGAGCCCGAGCCACCCATTCTATGACATGGCCAGACATGGCATCCTGCAGGTGGCAGATAGGTTTCCCATCAGGGCAGGGGGCCTTGGCATCCCAGGGGATGGGGGTGGCGTGGGCAGTCAGGACCAGGCCCCAGGACAAAGCAGAGCAAACCCTGGCATCCCATCCCACCCAGGCTAGGGATGGTTGTAATTCAGTGGGCCACGATGAACGTTTTTCAAGACTTTGTAAGACCAACAAACCCTTCCCTCAACCCCCAAGAGAACCAGGGTCCTCTGTGTGTCACCTGTGTGGCCGTGTGGAGGCCCCTGCGCCCACCTGTCACTGTCAGCTCCCCCAGGCCAGAGCTGGGCTCATAGAGAGATGCTGGGCAAAACAAAGCTCACCGTACCCAGTGCCGGTGGCGCACACCTGTAATCCCAGCTCCTCAGGAGTCGCGATCTGAGGATCGTGGTTCAAAACCAGCTCGGGCAGAAAAGTCCCTGTGAGACTCTTATGTCCATTAACCATCAGAAAACCGCGGCTCAATCGTTTGCACAGGGACAGCGCCCAGGCCCTGAGTTCAAGCCCCACAACCGACCAAACCAAAAAAGACCGCCTTGGCATTGCCCCCCCCTGCTGCAATCGGGCGGCATAGGCCACGCCCCTCTCCACTGGGATTGGGCGCCATGTGCCATGTTCCTATGCTGTGATTGGGTGCCATAGGCCACGCCCCTCTCCACCACGATTGGGCACCATAGGACATGTTCCTATGCTGTGATTGGGCACCGTGGGCCATGACCTGTCTGCCACGATTGGGTGCTATAGGCCATGCCCTCTCCACAGTGATTGGGTGCCATAGTCCACGCCCCCTCCGCTGTGACTGGGCACCATAGGCCATGCCCTTTCGTCGTGATTGGTTGCCGTAGGCCACGCCCCTCCATCATGATTGGGCGCCGTAGGCCGCTCCCAGAGGCTCAGGCCTGTGTCTGCTTGTCCGCCCTCGCACAGGGGACGAGCAGCTGGGGAGACGCGTGGTCACCTTCAGCTGCCGCCGGCCGCCACCCTCGCAGCAGCTGGACCGGTACGTGGAGCACGACTACACGACCGTCTGCTTCCACCACGGCCTCAGCAGCCAGAACAAGCCGTCCCTGCGCCGGCTGCAGGGCGCCGACCGGGAGTCCGACCGGAAGTGGGTGGCCCGACTCCTGGGGGCGGGCCCGCGGGAGGGCGCCGACCCGGAGTCCGACCGGAAGTGGGTGGCCCGACTCGTGGGGGCGGGCCCGCGGGAGGGCGCCGCGGGCTGCGGTCGAGGACGCCGCGGTCGAGGACGGGGCGCCGCGGGCTCGCAAGCCTCGGACCCCGCTGCGGCTGCCGTCCTCCGGGCCTTGAGGCAGAGCCGGCAGGGGGAGGCGCGGGGACCTGCCAGGACGGGGCGCTGCCCGCTGGTGAGTCCTCGGCGCTGGGGGACTGTGGGGGGGCCGCAGGCCGCCCTCCGCCCTCCTCAGCCCCTCCTGCAGAGGATGGGCGCGTTCACACCGGGCCCCGCGCGGTGCCACTCACCCGCCGCCTGCCCGGCTCCGCCCCGGGCTCCTCGGCCCCTGCCCGGCTCCGCCCCGGGCTCCTCGGCCCCTGCCCGGCTCCGCCCCGGGCTCCTCGGCCCCTGCCCGGCTCCGCCCCGGGCTCCTCGGCCCCTGCCCGGCTCCGCCCCGGGCTCCTCGGCCCCTGCCCGGCTCCGCCCCGGGCTCCTCGGCCCCTGCCCGGCTCCGCCCCGGGCTCCTCGGCCCCTGCCCGGCTCCGCCCCGGGCTCCTCGGCCCCTGCCCGGCGCGGGGGGGGGGGGGGGGGGGCGCTGGTCCAAGCAGGCAGGGACGGACGGCTGGCAGTGCCACCAAGGGGACGCCACCGACCCAGCCCAGGGCGAAGTGGGGCTTGAACTCAGGGCCTTGCTCTCTCCAGTCAGGGCTGGTACTCTGACACTTGAGCCACATTTCTACCTCACTTCTACTTCACTGAAGATAAGAGTCTCATGGATTTTCTCTGCCTGGGGTGGCTTCCAACCTTGATCCTCAGATCTCAGCCTCCTGAATAGCTGGGATTACAGGCGTGAGCTGCCAGCCCTGGCCGTGACCATCTTTATACACATGTCCACCATATAGATATGGTAGGCAGGTGTGGCCACTGTGAGAAGATAAGTGTGAATGTGTATAATTTTTGTGTTTAGTAGGATATAATTATAAGTTGGGAGTACTTCTTATTTAAGAATGGCTGTTTCTTCCAGCCAGTATCCACAGCTTTGTCAATTGGGTCCTGGAATTTGACAGTGGGTACCGGTGGAGGGTAGAAGCTGGCCGTAGCACGTGCTGGCTGGCCCATACTGGCCATGCGGGGGCCCTCTTGGTGGGGGCTCCCTGAAGGACACAAGTCCCCTGCACAGAACACGGCTCTGTGGAGTCTCAGCATGCCACGTGACCCCTGTCCCGCCCCAGGGGGTGCCTACTTCCCTGTCAACCCTGGAGGAGAGCGGGGGCTGGGAAGTCAGACCGGATGGAGGGAAGGGCACGAAGAAGCCTCTCCCGCCCTGGGGTACCCTGACACCCCCGGCCTGGCGTTTAGGGTCTTACTACATTTTGCTGCTACAAGCCACGCAGCCACACAGTGCCCTCTGTGTCCCTGGCGTAGGGGTTTTAGAAGGCTATGGTGGGCGTTGTTCTCAGCCAGGTACCCTGGGGCTATGTGGGTGCCAGGGGCAGGGGTTGGGGAAGATCCTAGGGTTTTCTCTTGAGTGTGAACCGTTCTGTGTTCTGTTTTCTATTCCGCGTCCATAGCTGGCCACTCCTGCAATGCAGGTGGGGGATGCCGGCCGGGGTGTCTGAGCCCCGCGGGCCGGACCGCCTCTCTGCCTCTTCCTCAGGTACAAGAAGAACCTGAAGGCGCTGTACGTGCTGCACCCCACCAGCTTCATCAAGGTGCTCTGGGGCATCTTCAGACCGCTCATCAGGTGCGTGCTGCCCAGGGGGACCCCAGGTGCATAGGGGTCCCATGGCGTGCCTCCCTGTCCAGCTTCCGTCGCGGGGATCAGGAGAGCCTGTCCCCCACCTTGCCCACTCGGGGGGCCTGGTTTGAAACCAGCCTGAGCAGGAAAATTCCATGAGACTCCACTTTAAAAAAGCAAAAAGCCAAAATGCAGGTGTGGCTCAAGTAATAGAGCATCAGCCCTGAGCAGAAAAAGCTAAAGGATGGCACCCAGGCCCTGAGTTCATGCCCCCAGGACTTGGATTTGCAGGTGTGCGCACACAGGTGCACATGAGACCCTGAGATCAGCCATGCGGAAGTGGAGGTTTGTGATCCCAGGACCAGCCTCCAAGGGCTCCTCATGCCAGGTCTGCCCACTGGCCTCTACAGGATGAGAAAGAGTCATGGAGATCCAGACACCGGCTGCTCAAGCCTGTCATCCTAGCTACTTGGGCAGCTGAGATCTGAGGATCACAGTTCAAAGCCAGCCAGGGAAAGTCTGTGAGACCCTTATCTCCAATTAACCACCAGAAAACTGGAAATGGGCGCTGTGGCTCAAATGGTAGAGCGCGTGCCTTGAACTGAAGATCTGAGCTCCTCAGGTCACACGGCAAAAAGTAGGGCTCAGGGTGGTTGGCTCTGGTTGATTATGAGCTCAGACCTTGTTTGGGGAGGAGTTCTGGGGAAGAAGCAGGAGCAAGTCTGTCCCTCTGCTGGTAGGCCACTCCTGAGCCTTTGCAGCCCTCCTCCCGTGTGGGGCTGTGCCTTCGAGCACCCCTGGGTGGGGTCCTGCACGGTGTTGCCCAGGGGGTCACAGCAGGGGCCCGGGAAGGACCTGGCCTCTGGCCTCAGGCGCGGGGTGATTCGGGGGCTTTTCTGCAGCCCCAGCTTTCAGCGCCTGGCAGAATCCTGGAAAAAGCCACTTTGCTGGTGCTGGGCACCCAGGGCTGATGGATTCTCCCTTGTCCACAAGGGGGAGCCAGTGCATGCAGAATTCTCTCCCTCTCCCTCTCCCCCGCCCCCTAAAACATTGAAAATATACAAATACCCAAATGCCTCCAGACTTACAAATTGCTGTCACAGTAACAAAATAGGTTTGATTTTTGCTCAGTACCTCACATTGCTTCTATGGTAACCGTGCAGTTCTTTGCCTGCGCTCAGACCGGCACATATTAAATATACTCACTAGGGAAATAATACTGTTGGAAAAAAATTAAATAAAAGGGAGTGAATTTGCAAAGGACGAAACTGAGCCTCACTAATAACGGGGATATGGGGAAGGCATGGGAACTGATTTGTTCAAAGGCTTGTGTTGTCTTCCTGCCCGGCCGGGGGGGGGGGGGCTCCCTGTTTGGAGGGTCCAAGGCCCTGAGGGAAGTGGTCCAAGGAGAGGGTGCAGGAACTGGACGTGGCCGGGGCTTCTCTGACTGCAGCAGGGTCTCCAGGGGGTCCTGTTTAGTCTTCACCACTGGAGATAGGCAGATGCAGGGCCCCCACGTACCCCCCCACACACACAGCCGCCGCCCTGCGGAGGCTGCTTCCACCACCTGGTCTCCTGATCCCAGCACTTTCTGGAAGAGTTGTGCCAGGACGGGCTCTGGCTTGCTGGACCGCCCCCCCCCCCCCCCAGTCTGAGGCCTCTATGCAAATCATGGAGATGCTTTTATGCAGATGAGCCTGTCAGGGAGGGTGCTATTGGAGGCAGGTGTTTTTATGCAGATGAGCCTGGGGGGGTGAGGCCTCACAGATCCTGAAGGGAAGCAGGGGTTGTGCCTCGTGCCTCAAGTCTGTGATGTTTACGGTTTCCTAATAGGAACAGTGGGCGTCTCTGGCAGACCTGCTGCCCGCCCCCCTCCCTGCCCCCCACATTCTGCCTAACTGCCGTACCCTGCTTCTCCTTTCTCAGTCACAAATTTGGGGGGAAAGTCGCCTATCTCAGCCCTTGAGCGAGCTCCGGGAGCAGCTCCAGTGCGACCAGCTGCCGGTTCCCCCGGAAGTCCTGCGGGGAGTCCCGCCCCGCCCCGCCTGACCTCCCCGAGCCCTGCCCCTTCACGGTGAAGCGGCACATGTGCGCCCCGCCAGGTGTGGGCTCCTTAGAAGGTGGGACGGGGGAGGCAGGGCCGGCGCCGGCGGCTCTGCTGGCCACGCCCGCGGCCCGCTGCTTGCTGCGGCTGCTTTTGAGCAGGAGGTTTGCGGGTTTCCCGGCGTGCACGGAGGGAGCCGAGCGCGTTGCACCGTGCTCTGGGTGCTCTGGTGCCTCCTGCCCCGTGTTCCCTTGAAAGAGAATCGGCGCGTCGCATCCGGGCTGAAGCCGGGGACCAGGTGACCCCAGGACCGCTGCACGGCAGACTGAGGACAGAGAGGCTGAGGACAGAGAGGTCTCCAGAGAGTAGGCAGCCAGCTCTGGTCTTTGGGGCCCATGGGGCACGCAGGTGCCTCGGGGCTCTGGAGCTCCCGACTGTGGCCCTGGTGGCCGGTGCTGCCCATAGTGGCCCACAGACCCAGCCCTGGGGCCCCCTGGGCTGGGGCCAGGGCTGGATGTTCCCCAGGCCCCAGGCTGGTCTTGAGGCCCTGGCCAGGGGTAGCTCTGAGGTTTGAAGACCCGATCCCGGCTGCATCCCGGTTTGGGACCTGGGACAATAGATCCGGCCAAACCTTGGTGTTGGGATTGGAGCAGCAAGCGTTGCGCTGTGGACTGGCGGAGGGGCAGAGGGCGGCTTCTCCTTCTCAGGCCCCTCCACCTCTGCTTGGCGCCTCTCCCTAGCCGGGAGAGACAGCCCAACACCTCCTAGTTAGTGCTGGGAGGGAGGGAGGACGGGGGACCCCAGGGAGCCCAGGCGGCCGCCCCGGCTGCCCGAGGGCTGTGCGGGGCTGACCGGCCTCGGCCGCACCTGCAGGTACGATGAGAAGCTTCAGGCCCTGCACAGGGGCCTCCGGACCCCGCCCGCCAGGACGCCGCCCCCCAGGCCACCGCTGCCCACGCAGCAGTTCGGGGTCAGCCTGCGGTAGTAAGTGAGCCAGGACGCTGCACCGTCCTCCCGCCCCGGCCGGCCACCCCTGGGGCTGAGGGCCACCTCCATGTCCATCCCTGGACCCTGCAGACCACGGCACCCCAGCCTCCCGGCTCGCGCAGCAGCCCGCACCTCGGCCTCCAGGCCGGGCCAGGCCATCAGCTGACCCACCAAGGGAGGGCCAGATGCCGGGGTCTGCGGTCCTCTCCAGGGGCCTGGGCAGCACGCGCATGAGCATTCCCCGACCCACCCGGCCGCCGTACTAGTAGCAGCCCCGGGACCTCGGGCTCAGCCCTCTCTCTTCTGCTTCTGTGTGCTGCCTCATTTCTCACGTGATCTCATAATCTTGTTTTGGTTTTTTTTCATTCGATCTTTTGGGATCTTGTTTGTTGTTTTCTGATGGTGATACTGGGTTTGAACTCAGAGCCTCGTATTTGTAAGGCAGGTACTCTACCACCTGACCCAGGTCTCCGGCCTTTTTGCTTTTGGTATTTTTCAGATAGAGTCTTGAGTTTTTGCCTGAGAACTTACTTTCTGCCTCCTGAGTGTGCCTGGTTTGTTTCAGATGTGAGGGTGCTGACATTTTTGCTTGGGCTGGCCTTAAACTGATACTTCCACCAACACCTTAGAAGCTGGGATGAAGAAAATATTAAATGTGAAGTAGAAAGGTTGTCCCCAGGGGTCTGGGACGGTGGCTCAGTGGTAGAGCGCTTGCCTCGCATGCATGAGTTCCTGGGTTCAATTCCTCAGCACCACATAAGCAGAAAAAGCCGGAAGTGGCGCTGTGGCTCAAGTGGTAGAGTGCTAGCCTTGAGCTGAAGAGCTCAGGGACAGTGCCCAGGCTGAGTTTAGGCCCCACAACTGACCAAAAAGAAAGTTTGCCCCCAGATGTATTAGGAGCACAAACTGACTACCAAGCCGACTGTTTTTCCCCCCATTCTTTTCCTGTCTTCATGCTACAGCCCACCCTTTCCCAAGCATCACCCAGCATTACTGGTGAATGATTGACACCTGACAGGGCAGACACCTGCAGTGACCACGGCCCCTCTAGGGGGCGCCGGGGGCGCTGGGCCTGAGGACACTGTGGCCTCTGGGGATGGTTTTTCCTGCAGTCTCGAGGCCTCTGTGCCCACAGCCAGGCGCCGTGGTTTGTTCTGCGGGGCCAGGGCTGCTCTGGTGGCTGTAATGTTCAGGGAACCTGGGCGAGGTGGGCTCCACACCTCAGTCCCTCGGTCTGGAGGCTCAGCCCGGCCTGCCTTGTGTCCACCATAGCCTTCTGCCTAATTCTCATCTAATGGATTTTAAAAATGCAGCCTGGGGGCTGGGAAGGTGGCTTAGCGGTAGAATGCTTGCCTTGCATGCATGAAGCCCTGGGTTCGATTCCTCAGCACCACATACACAGAAACAGCTGGAAGTGGCACCATGGCTCAAGTGGTAGAGTGCGAGCCTTGAGCAAAAGAAGCTGAGGGAGAATGCCCAGGCACTGAGTTCAAGACCCAGGACTGGCCAAAAAAAAAAAAAAGCAGCCTGGAGCCACTCAGCTGGCTGAGATCTGAGGATCATGGTTCAAAGCCAGCCCAAGCAGGAAAGTCCATGAGACCCTTACCTCCACATAACCACCAGAAAACAGGAAGTGGTGCTGTAGCTCAGGTGCTCAGGGATAGTGCCTAGGCCCCAAGTTCAAGCCCCATGACCAACAACAACAATTTTAAAAAAACAACCAGCCTGGCGTTGGTAGTTCACAACTGTAATCCTAGCTACTCAGGAGGCAGACAAATCCAGGAGATTCTTTTTTTTTTTTTTTTGTCGGTCGTGGGGCTTGAACTCTGGGCCTGGGTGTTGTCCCTCAGCTCTTCAACTCAAGGCGAGCGCTCTACCACTTGAGCTACAGCGCCACAGATCCAGGAGATTCTTATGTCAAACTAACCAGCAAAAAGTTGGAAGTGGAGGCATGGCTTAAGTGGTAGAGTGCCAACCTTGAGCAATAAAAGCCAATCCAAAGAATAAGAACCTAAGTTCACGACTCAGCAGAGACACTTAAACAAAATCAGCTCATGAATGCAGCAAAGTGCTCTGGGGGTGTCAGTGGCAGAGCACCTACGTGGTGCGGCCCTCAGACCCAGCCTCACCCACAGGAGCACAGGAACGCCTCCTCCTCTCCAGGGAGCGGAGGGGACGCTGGCCCGTGGCTTCGAAGGCACTTTGCGTGCGATTGCCCCGTACATTAATATTGTATGCGATCTCATTGCCAGTAACTGTAACAAGATGGCAGTCAACGTGTTAAATAAAGCGCCACATGAGTGCGTTGTTTGGACTACGAATGAATGAAAGTCATTAACATTCATAACCAAATCCTATTCACGAATGTTAATTTGCTGATTTAAGTTCAAAAGCACACAGCAGAACACGCGCCACGGTCGGGCTGGAGCCGATGGGGGCGGGAGGGGGAACCCCGAGGCCGGGGTGCTGCGGGCGGCCGTTCACGCATGCGTGCCGCAGTCCTCACAGCGGAGCGCAGGTCGGGAGGAGCGCAGGTGGGGAGTCGTAGGTAAAGCACTGAACTGTGAGGGTCCTGGAGCCAGAGGTGAGCTACGGCTCACGTGGTAGAGGGCTAGCCTCGAGCAAAACTAGCAAGTGTGAGGCCCTGAGTTCCAGCTCTGGAACTGGCACAAAAGAAAGAAAAATGCCGCATGCGTGCAAATAGGACCGGGGGAGGCGGGGCTCTGGGAGAGGCGGGGCTCGGGGAGGCGGGGCTCCGGGGAGGCGGGGCTCCGAGGAGGCGGGGCTTGCTCCGGGGAGGCGGGGCTCTGGGGAGGCGTGGCTCCGAGGAGACGGGGCTCTGGGGAGGCGTGGCTCCGAGGAGGCGGGGCTCCGAGGAGGCGGGGCTCTGGGGAGGCGGTGCTCCGGGGAGGCGGGGCTCCGGGGAGGCGGGGCTCGCTCCGGGGAGGCGGGGCTCTGGGTTCGGGTTCAGGTTCCCTTGCATATCTGCCTTTTACTTATTTGTTTTTTGGGGGGTCCGGACGTGGGCCTGGGCGCTGTCCCTCAGCTCTTCAGCTCAAGGCTAGCCCTCTACCACTTGAGCCACAGCGTCACTTCCAGCTTTTTTCTTTTTGCTTATGTGGTGCTGAGGAATCGAACCCAGGGCCTCATGCATGCAAGGCCAGCGCTCTACCACTGAGCCACCTTCCCAGCCCCGGATATCTGCCTTGATCACGGGTGACGGGCACCGCGCTCGGGGGGCAGCAGGAGGCTGGCCCTGCACCCCGGCACTTTCCTGTGGCACAGCTGAGGGCGGGCGCCCCGTGCGGGGTTGAGGCGCCCTGCCCTGTCCTGCCCTGCTCGTATCTGCCAGCCCTGCCCTGCTCCACTCTGCCCTGCGCTGCCCTGCCCTGCCTGCCCTGCCCTGCCCTGCCCTGCCCTGCCCTGCCCTGCCATGCATGCCTGCCCTGCCATGCATGCCTGCCCTGCCCTGCCCTGCCATGCATGCCTGCCCTGCCCTGCCCTGCCTGCCCTGCCCTGCCCTGCCCTGCCCTGCCCTGCCCTGCCCTGCCGGACTGGGCTGCCTGGCTGGGGGGGGGGGGGCTGGACGTGGTGGGGCGTGGCCTGGAGGGGGAGGGGAGCACAGCTGCCCCCCCTCCCCCCCCCCCCCCCCCCGCCTTCCTTCCTCTGCCCTCCCGCACCCCTCGGGCTGGAGCGCAGGCCAGCGCCCCACAGTGCCGGCGCACCCGCGGGGGACGGCGGAGCCCCCAGGCCCAGCCTCACCCTCCCCACGTCCTCCCGGAGGCCCGGAGCGCCAGCCTCAGAGAGAATGGCGGCGAACTCATCCCTGCGGTGCTGGGGTCAGGGCCTGCTCCGCCGCGCGCCCGGAGGACGGGGTGGAGGAGCCGCTGGGCGTGACCACGAGGGGCTCGGCCGGGCTCCTCGGCCTGCGCCTGTCCGCCCCGGGCTGCGCGGGTCCAGGGCGGCGCGAGCACTTGCTGTCCTCCGGGCGCGCGCAGGCGGGCTCCTGGGCCTCTGGCTTCCTGGTCCCCGACCCGTCACCCCGTGCCGGGACCGGCTGAGCTCCTGCAGTGGGTGGCCGCCACTGCAAAGCGTTTCCCTGCTCAGCTGAGCTCATGGCACCCCCCCCCCCCCGCTGGGTATTTCAGCCCTAGGCCTCACGGGAAGTCACCTGTTTGGGGACCGCCAGGTGCCAGGCACGTGGAGGAGGAAGAACAAAGTGGGGAGAGCCAGAGCCAGGCTTCAGAGCTATCCATTCAGGCACAGGAGCCACAGAAACTTCGGGAAGCCCGGCGTGCTTGCTGGAACCTTTGGGATGGCCCATGTCTCTTCCCCATACAGGGCTGCGCAGGGAAGGCCTGTTCCGGAGGTCGGCCAGCGCCCAGACCATCCGCCAAGTGCAGAGGCTGTAAGATCAAGGTGAGGCCCAGGCCCCGCCCACAGCCCCGCCCTGCCATCACAGGCCCCGCCCACACCCACCCTGCCCCCACCCAGGCCCCGCCCACACCCGCCCTGCCACCACCCAGACCCCGCCCACACCCACCCTGCCACCACCCAGGCCCCGCCCATCCACCTTGCCCATCACCCAGGCCCCGCCCATCCACCCTGCCACCACCCAGACCCCGCCCATCCACCTTGCCCACCACCCAGGCCCCGCCCACACCCACCCTGCCACCACCCAAACCCCGCCCATCCACCTTGCCCATCACCCAGGCCCCGCCCACACCCACCCTGCCACCACCCAGACCCCGCCCACACCCACCCTGCCACCACCCAGGCCCCGCCCACGCCCACCCTGCCACCACCCAGACCCCGCCCACACCTACCCTGCCACTACCCAGGCCCCGCCCACACCTACCCTGCCACCACCCAGGCCCCGCCCATGCCCACCCTGCCACCACCCAGGCCCCGCCCACGGCCCCTCCCTGCCACCACCCAGGCCCCGCCCACGGCCCCTCCCTGCCGCAGCCCTCAGCCCCTCCTTAGCACCAGAAGCTCAAGGTGGGGCGCTGCCTGAGAGCCCCCAAGTGCTGGGGGCCTCAGCCCAGACTCCAGCCCTCCAGGGTAAGACAGCTGCACAGGGCCGTTTTGCCAGTCACACCTGGTAGGCGTGTGGTTTTCCAGAACGCTGTGGGCCTTCACCAGGCCCCCACGCTCAGCCCCTCCCATGGGAGAATGGCAGCGCGCCAAGGACACCCCAAAGCCACGCCAACCAGGGCACAGATGGCTCACACCCATAATCTCAGGAGGCTGAGATCTGAGGATCACAGTTCAAAGCCACCCAGCCAGGAAAGTCTGGAAGATCCTTCTTGCCTGTTAACCACCAAAAAGCCGGAAGAGGGGCTGTGGTTCCAGTGGTAGAGATCCCAGGCCCTGAGTCCTGAGTTCAAAGCCTAGGACTGGCACACACACACACACACACACACACACACACACACAATCGTGCTTACCAGGCAGTGTCTGGCCCCGCAGCAGTGAGTCTACTACCCACGCATCTAGAGGGGGCAGGACAGGCTGGGAACCAGCACCTCTTCCAGGGAGGGCAGGCGGCCCCACCACGAGCCCCCACTGCAGTGCTCCTACCCGGACTGAGCTGGAGCCGCCTGCAGGGAAGCCGGATCCTGAAGACGTTCCTGCGCGAGCTGCCCGCGCCTGCTCACCTTCCAGGCCTATGAGCAGATCCTGGGCATCACCAGTACGTTTGGGGTGGCGGGTCCTGGGGCGCCTGGGTCCTGCGGCCTCGGGGAGGGGGGGTGTCTGAGCACCTGGCTGTGACCCAGGCGCTTCCTCTCAGCCCGGCCCTGTGCCCGCAGGCGTGGAGAGCAGCCAGCGCGTAAGCCGCTGTCGTGAGATCCTGCAGGACCTCCCCAAGCACAACTATGCCATCCTCCACTACCTCGTGGGCTTCCTGCATGAGGTGAGGGGCCTGGGGGTCCAGGATCCCCCCCCACACACGCCCGCCCCCGCCTGCCCTCAGCCCGCCCCGCCTGCCCCCAGCCCGCCCTGCCCCGCCTGCCCCCAGCGCCCAGCCCGCACGCAGCCTGCCCGCAGCCCGCCCCGCCCGCCCCCAGCCCGCCCCGCCCACCCGCAGCCTGCCCCGCCCGCCCCGCAGCCGGCCCGCAGCCCGCCCCGCCCGCCCCCAGCCCGCCCCGCCCGCCCCCAGCGCCCAGCCCGCCCGCAGCCGGCCCGCAGCCCGCCCCGCCCGCCCTGCCCCACCTGCCCCCAGCGCCCAGCCCGCACGCAGCCTGCCCCCAGCCCGCCCTGCCCCGCCTGCCCCCAGCGCCCAGCCCGCTTGCAGCCTGCCCCCAGCCCGCCCCGCCCGCCCCCAGCCCGCCCAGCCCGCACGCAGCCGGCCCGCAGCCCGCCCCGCCCGCCCTGCCCCACCTGCCCCCAGCGCCCAGCCCGCACGCAGCCTGCCCCCAGCCCGCCCTGCCCCGCCTGCCCCCAGTGCCCAGCCCCGCACGCAGCCCGCCCCGCCCACCCCGCAGCCCGCCCCGCCCGCCCGCAGCCCGCCCAGCCCGCACGCAGCCCGCCCCGCCCGCCCCCAGCCCGCCCAGCCCGCACGCAGCCCGCCCCGCCCGCCCCCAGCCCGCCCAGCCCGCCCCCAGCCGCCCAGCCCGCACGCAGCCTGCCCGCAGCCCGCCCCGCCCCAGCCCGCCCGCAGCCCGCCCCGCCCCAGCCCGCCCGCAGCCCGCCCCGCCCCAGCCCGCCCGCAGCCCGCCCCGCCCGCCCCCAGCCTGCCCTGCCCCGCCCGCCCCCCCTCCCCCCCCCCTTCCCCCCCCCCCCCCCCCCCCCTCCCCCCCCCCCCCCCCGCCAGTCGGGCTGTCACATCCAGGGACTCGCCTGCCGTCTCTGCTCTTGGTGCTGCCCCGCCCTCCCGCTTAGGAAGCAGGACAGAGGCTGGGCCGGTGGGGAGTCCTGAGCTCTCCGGAAGCATCGGCTGGAAGAACGAGGAGCCCTGTTCTCCCCCATTCTTCGAGGGGAGCCTGTGGCAGTGCGTCCTGCGCTCGCCCCCCGCTGGCCAAGCCAGGCCTCACGTGGCCGCCCGGCTCCTGCTTCAGTGCCAAAGTAGAAGGGGAGATGGGGGGGGGGGAGGGGGGGAGAGAGAGAGAGAGAGAGAGAGAGAGAGAGAGAGAGAGAGAGAGAGAGAGAGAGAGAGACTCAGAAACCCCAGGGGACAAATCAGGGCCACACCTGGGACTCCCCCAGAGCATCGCAGCCAGTCCCTTCCTTTTACAGCTGAGGAAACTGAGGCCCCGCGTGGGGAGAGGCCCCCAGTCCAGTTTTCTCCCCAGAGCTTAGGCCCTCCCCTCCCCGTGTGGGGTCGGACTCTGGCCCACCACCGCCCTTGACTGCACGCGTGCGGCCCATGCGTGACCTCCAGGCCCCTGTGTCTCTGCAGGTGTCCCGGGAAAGCATCTTTAACAAGATGAGCAGCTGGGACCTGGCCTGCGTGTTCGGGCTGGACTTGGTCTGGCCGGCGCGGGGCCGCCTCCCTGAGCGCCCTGGAGCCTGCACCTGTTCACCGAGCTGCTCACTGAGTGCTACGAGAGGCTCTTCAGACCCCGACACCCCCCGGGAGCGTGCGCCGGGCCCCCGTGGAAGCCGGCAAACAGAGTGGCCCGGCCCCAGATGTGCCCCGAGGGCTGCGCCCGGGCCACCTCCCCGGCCCCTGACAGCGGGAGATGCTGACGGACGTCCACGGGTTCACGCGCTGTCCTCCCACTGACGTCCACGGGCTCACGCGCTGTCCTCCTGGGATGCTCTGGGACTTGCTGTCCAGTCCCAATGGCCAGGGGCCACAAGACACAGCCTTATAGTAGGAAACACGTGCTTCTGACTCTCAGGTCCTCCCATGTTCTTAGGGTATGGGCCGTGATGTGTCCAGCAGGTTATTTTGAATTCTGGTGTGTGTAGCTGTGCATGTGCGCACACGCATGTACCCACTAGTGGCCTTGAGCCTTGAACTCAGGGCTGAGGCTGTTGCTTGGCTTTTTCACTCAACGCGGGCGCTCTGCCGCTTGAGCCTCACCTCCACTTGCTGGTTCGTTGGAGACGAGAGTCTCTCAGACTTTCCTGCTCTGGTTGGCTTCAAACCACAGTCCTCAGATCTCAGCCTCCTGAGTAGCTAGGATTACCGGCTTCCGGCAGAGGTGGCACAGTGTGGCCTGGGACCCAGCCCTCCCGCACATCTGGGGACAGGGCCGCGCTGTCCGCCTGCTTCTGCGGGCCCAGCACTCACCCCGGGAGGCGCCCAGAGGGCCAGAGATCTTCACATAGCACTCCACATACGTATTAGTACTTATTATCAAGGTGTTTTATGATTCGGGCAATGCGTCTGTTTCTCTGGTGGAGATTTTACTCCTTCCTTTGCCCATTTCCCCGTCCTGTTCCTGCCACGCTGTGTAGAGTTCACTCTCCATGGAGTGTCTTCAGAGTTCCATGCCTGCATTTGTTCACCTGCCTCCCTTCTGCGCCCCTCCTCCCGTACCCCTGCCCCGTAAGAACAAAAATAACACCTCACCACCATGAGCTTCATTCTTCCATTCTCATACATGGGTCCTAGCACAGTGCAGGGAGAAGGTCTGGAGCAGATGGCATGAAGGGAGCCGTCCGGACGGGGCCCTGGCGGCCCAGCCCTGATGGTGGCTGCTCACAAAGGCACCGCCACCAGGGAGCTCCCTGGCCTCTCTGAGCCAGGCGGCTGCGAGGTGCCAGTGCCTGGCGGGGAGGCCCAGCTGCCGGCCCTCCATGGGGCGCCCGGAGTGGCCGGAGGGGCCTGTGCCCTCAGCATGGTCAGGCACACAGAAGGGCCTGGCGGGTGCTGGACTTCAGGACACCCCAGGGAACAGCACCTCGCAGCTGGACGCCTGTAATCCCAGCTACTCAGGAGGCTGAGATCCTAGGATCACAGTTCAAAGCCAGCCCTGGCAGGGCTCTAAAGCAAAACAAAACAGCAGAAAACCAGAAGTGGAACTGTGGCTCACAGTGGTGGCTTGCTAGCCTTGAGTGAGAAAGCTCAGGACAGTGCCCAGGCCCCAAGTTCAAGCTCCGCACCAGACCCCTCCCCCTGCCCCCCAAATAGCACCTCTCTCCTGCCAAACTGAAAACCAATTGAGAGCCATAGACCTGTCCCAGCGACAGTGGCCGAAGCCTGATCCTGTTCCTGGTGCACAAATATGCTGGAGGCCCAGGGAAGTAAAGAACATGCAGACGGGGCTGGGAAGGTGGCTCAGAGGCAGAGCGCTTGCCTCGCACGCCTGAGGCCCTGGGTTTGATTCCTCAGCACCACATAAGAAAAAAGAAAAAAGCCGGAAGTGGCGCTGTGGCTCAAGTGGTAGAGCGCTAGCCTTGAGCTGAAGAGCTGAGGGACAGCGCCCAGGCCCAGAGTTCAGGCAGGTCCACCCAGCTGGTGAGCGGCAGGGCTGGGGTTGGAACCTCGTAGCTCTGCTCTTCGGTGAGAGCTGTGGGAGGCAGAGGGAGGCAGCCAGGCTTCGGTCTTCTCGTCCACACAGCGGGGACACCCCGCCATGCTCCTCCAGCTCTGGGAATGCCAGGCCTGGACCAGAACGTGGGTGCAGCTAGAACACCGTGTGCTAAGACACGGCTGGTTTGATGCTCCGCCTCCGTGTCATGTGGGGGTCTGGCCCCAGGGAAGCGGAGGAGAGCAGGTCCACCCCCCTTGGGTGCAGAGGGTTTAGGGAGCTCCCACGGATGCGTCCTGGTCCTTCTGAAAAGCAATTGTAACGCGCGTATATTAATTGTGCAAAGCGATGGGCACCCTTGCACGGGAGTGTCGCCTGTCTGCATCACACGCCCGCTCTAGATCGTTGAGTTCGGGGATGTGTTGGCCTCTCCGTGGCCACCCAAGCTCAGGAGGCCACCACAGGGGCCGCCACTGCCCTGACTGCGGCCTCAGCTGGCACACGCCCTAAGGGGCAGAAGCTGGCCCAGCCCCATCTTCTGGACTCTGCACTGGGCACAGCATCCCCCCCCCCCGTCCCTCCCACCCCCATCCCCCCCTCCTCCGCAGATGGCCGTCCCGCAGCCCTGTCCCCCCTCCCCCCACCCCTCTCCCCCCTCCTCCGCAGATGGCCGTCCCGCAGCCCTGTCCCCCCCTCCCCCCTCCTCCGCAGATGGCCGTCCCGCAGCCGTGTCCCCCCCTCCCCCCTCCTCCGCAGATGGCCGTCCCGCAGCCCTGTCCCCCCTCTCCCCACCCCCCTCCCCCCTCCTCCGCAGATGGCCGTCCCGCAGCCCTGTCCCCCCTCCCCCCACCCCTCTCCCCCCTCCTCCGCAGATGGCCGTCCCGCAGCCCTGTCCCCCCCCTCCCCCCTCCTCCGCAGATGGCCGTCCCGCAGCCCTGTCCCCCCTCCCCCCACCCCCCTCCCCCCTCCTCCGCAGATGGCCGTCCCACAGCCCTGTCTCCCCTCCCCCCCACCCCCCTCCCCCCTCCTCCGCAGATGGCCGTCCCGCAGCCCTGTCCCCCCCTCCCCCCTCCTCCGCAGATGGCCGTCCCGCAGCCCTGTCCCCCCTCTCCCCACCCCCCTCCCCCCTCCTCCGCAGATGGCCGTCCCGCAGCCCTGTCCCCCCTCTCCCCACCCCCCCTCCCCCCTCCTCCGCAGATGGCCGTCCCGCAGCCCTGTCCCCCCTCTCTCCCCTCCTCCGCAGATGGCCGTCCCGCAGCCGTGTCCCCCCCTCTCCCCCCCCCCTCCGCAGATGGCCGTCCCGCAGCCCTGTCCCCCCTCTCTCCCCTCCTCCGCAGATGGCCGTCCCGCAGCCGTGTCCCCCCTCTCCCCCCCCCTCCACAGATGGCCGTCCGGCAGCCCTGTCCCCCCTCTCCCCCCCCCCTCCACAGATGGCCGTCCGGCAGCCCTGTCCCCCCTCTCCCCCCCCTCCTCCGCAGATGGCCGTCCCGCAGCCCTGTCCCCCCATCCCCCCCTCCTCCACAGATGGCCGTCCCGCAGCCCTGTCCCCCCATCCCCCCTCCTCCACAGATGGCCGTCCCGCAGCCCTGTCCCCCCTCTCTCCCCTCCTCCACAGATGGCCGTCCCGCAGCCCTGTCCCCCCATCCCCCCTCCTCCACAGATGGCCGTCCCGCAGCCCTGTCCCCCCTCTCTCCCCTCCTCCGCAGATGGCCGTCCGGCAGCCCTGTCCCCCCTCTCCCCCCCCCCTCCACAGATGGCCGTCCGGCAGCCCTGTCCCCCCTCTCCCCCCCCTCCTCCGCAGATGGCCGTCCCGCAGCCCTGTCCCCCCATCCCCCCTCCTCCACAGATGGCCGTCCCGCAGCCCTGTCCCCCCATCCCCCCTCCTCCACAGATGGCCGTCCCGCAGCCCTGTCCCCCCATCCCCCCTCCTCCACAGATGGCCGTCCCGCAGCCCTGTCCCCCCTCTCTCCCCTCCTCCACAGATGGCCGTCCCGCAGCCCTGTCCCCCCATCCCCCCTCCTCCACAGATGGCCGTCCCGCAGCCCTGTCCCCCCTCTCTCCCCTCCTCCACAGATGGCCGTCCCGCAGCCCTGTCCCCCCATCCCCCCTCCTCCACAGATGGCCGTCCCGCAGCCCTGTCCCCCCTCTCTCCCCTCCTCCGCAGATGGCCGTCCGGCAGCCCTGTCCCCCCCTCTCCCCCCCCCCTCCACAGATGGCCGTCCGGCAGCCCTGTCCCCCCTCTCCCCCCCCTCCTCCGCAGATGGCTGTCCCGCAGCCCTGTCCCCCCATCCCCCCTCCTCCACAGATGGCCGTCCCGCAGCCCTGTCCCCCCATCCCCCCTCCTCCACAGATGGCCGTCCCCGCAGCCCTGTCCCCCCATCCCCCCTCCTCCACAGATGGCCGTCCCGCAGCCCTGTCCCCCCCTCTCTCCCCTCCTCCACAGATGGCCGTCCCGCAGCCCTGTCCCCCCATCCCCCCTCCTCCACAGATGGCCGTCCCGCAGCCCTGTCCCCCCTCTCTCCCCTCCTCCGCAGATGGCCGTCCGGCAGCCCTGTCCCCCCTCTCCCCACCCCCCCTCCCCCCTCCTCCGCAGATGGCCGTCCCGCAGCCCTGTCCCCCCTCTCCCCCCTCCTCCGCAGATGGCCGTCCCGCAGCCCTGTCCCCCCCTCCCCCCTCCTCCGCAGATGGCCGTCCCGCAGCCGTGTCCCCCCTCTCCCCCCTCCTCCGCAGATGGCCGTCCCGCAGCCCTGTCCCCCCCTCCCCCCTCCTCCGCAGATGGCCGTCCCGCAGCCCTGTCCCCCCCCTCCCCCCTCCTCCGCAGATGGCCGTCCCGCAGCCCTGTCCCCCTCTCCCCCCCTCCTCCACAGATGGCCGTCCCGCAGCCCTGTCCCCCTCTCCCCCCCTCCTCCACAGATGGCCGTCCGGCAGCCCTGTCCCCCCTCTCTCCCCTCCTCCGCAGATGGCCGTCCCGCAGCCCTGTCCCCCCCTCTCTCCCCTCCTCCGCAGATGGCCGTCCCGCAGCCCTGTCCCCCCTCTCTCCCCTCCTCCGCAGATGGCCGTCCCGCAGCCCTGTCCCCCCCATCCCCCCTCCTCCGCAGATGGCCGTCCCGCAGCCCTGTCCCCCCCTCCCCCCTCCTCCGCAGATGGCCGTCCCGCAGCCGTGTCCCCCCTCTCCCCCCCTCCTCCGCAGATGGCCGTCCCGCAGCCCTGTCCCCCCTCTCCCCCCCCCTCCTCCGCAGATGGCCGTCCCGCAGCCCTGTCCCCCCA